GCTAGTTTTTTGTATTTTTAGTAGAGACGGGGTTTCACCGTGTTAGCCAGAATGGTCTCGATCTCCTGACCTCGTGATCCACCCGTCTCGGCCTCCCAAAGTGCTGGGATTACAGGCTTGAGCCACCGCGCCCGGCCCATATAAATTTTTAAAAATGCTCTAGTGGTTACTACAAAATGCATTTCTGGAGGCTGCTAATTTATAATATTTACATATATTGCATAATATTCCTGGAAGCTGCTGACACATAAAGAATTAATGATCTCCAAAGGAAAGGCAAATGTTTAAATTTTTGTTTGTTAGTTTTTTGAGATGGAGTCTTGCTCTGTTGCCCAGGCTGGAGTGCAATGGCACAATCTCAGCTTACTGCAACCTCTGCCTCCAGGGTTCAAGCGATTCTTCTGCCTCAGCCTCTGGAATAGCTGGGATTACAGGTGCCCGCCACCACATCCAGCTAATTTTTGTATTGTTAGTAGAGACGGATTTTGCCATGTTGGCCAGGCTGGTCTCGAACTGCTGACCTGAAATGGTCCACCTGCCTTGGCCTCCCAGAGTGCTGGGATTACAGGCGAGAGCCACCACCCTTGGCCTAAATGTTAATATAATAGTAAATACCCATAAACATTTAACAAATTATTAGTACCTTTATTGACAGTTTCATTTTCAAGCCTATCATTTAGTCTGATGACTGCTTTCTTTATCAGAGTTCTGTCAAAACAGACAGCGTCTCACTCTGTTACCAAGGCTGAGATGCAATGGCATGGTCATAGCTCACTGCAGCCTCAAACTCCTGGGCTCAAGCAGTCCTTCTGCCACAGTCTCCTGAGTAGCTGGGACTGTAGGCATGTGCCACCACGCCTGGCTAGTTTTTAAATATTTTGTAGAGATGGGGGTCTCCCTATGTTGCCCAGGCTTGTCTCAAACTCCCGGCCTCGAGCAATCTGCCCACCTCAGCCTCCTAAAGTGCTGGGATTACAGGCAGGAGCCACTGTGCCCAGCCAATGTTTTATTTTTTCAACTTTTTTGTTAAAAACTAAGACAAACGCAAACACGTTGGTCTAGGCCTTCACAGGATCAGAATTGGATCATCAGTACAATTGTCCTCCACCTCTGTATCTGTCCTATTGGAAGGTCTTCTGGGGCATGAACACGCATGAAACTGCCATCTTCGATTATAACAATACCTTCTTCTGGAATATCTCCCGAAGGACCTGCCTGAGACTGTGTTATGGTAACTTTTTTCTTTTTTTAGAGACATGATCTTGCTGTGTCACTCAGGCTGGAATGCAGTGGCGTGATTATAGCTCACTATGGCCTCAAATTTCTAGGCTCAAGCCATTCTCCCACCTCAGGCTCCCATGCCTGGAGCCTGTGCCAGCATGCCCAGCTAATTTTTAAAAATTTTTTTGTCCGGGCACGATGGTTCACGCTTCTAATCCCAGCACTTTGGCAGGCCAAGTGGGTGGAACACCTGAGGTCAGGAGTTCCAGGTCAGCCTGGCCAACATGGTGAAACCCTGTCTCTATTACAAATACAAAAATTAGCTGAGTGTGGTGGCAGGCGCCTGTAGTCCCAGCTACTCGGGAGGCTGAGGCGGGAGAATCGCTTGAACCCGGGAGGTGGAGGTTGCAGTGAGCCAAGATTGCGCCATTGCACTCCAGCCTGGGTGAAAAGAGGGAAACTCTGTCTCAAAACAAAGCAAACAAAGAAAAAACAAACAAACAAAAAAAACACGTGTTTTTAGAGACAGGGTCTTGCTCTGTTACCCAGGCTGAACTTTTTAGGTAGAAGTATGCTTCAATGTAACAATGAAAAGTATAGCATAGTAAACACTTAAACCACAGTAGCATAGTCATTTTTTATCACTATCAAATAGAGTATTATGTAGTGTACATAATTGTGCTATATTTTTATATGACTGGCAACATAGTAGGTTTGTTTATACCAGCATCACCACAGACACGTGAGTAATGTGTTGTACTAGATGTCACTAGGTGATAGGAATTTTTTAGCTCCATTATAATCTTATGGGACCACTGTCATTGACCAAAATGTCATTATGGGGCACATGACAGTACACTTGAATTCAGTTTTTAAGTTGAGCAATTAAAAAAAAAATTAATGAAATTAGCAGCAGTTTTATTAGAAGTGGTAGGATTATGGTTTTTTATGTCTTTTCCAAACTTTCCACAATGGTGTCAAAATTACTTATATAATTAAAAAATAAATAATATTAAGTATATAAATTTGTGTACGTCTCTTGGGTAAGGTTATATACATGTGAGGTTAAAGTTAGATGTGGGATATGTGCCTTTTTGGAATGAATTAAGGAAGGTAATTGTGCTCTAAGCTGTGTGCTACTGAACTGTTGGCATACAAATCACTCAGAAGCTTATTTTGTTTGTTTTTTTGAGACGGAGTCTTGCTGTCACCCAGGCTGGAGTGTAGTGAGTGGAGGTTGTGATCTTGGCTCACTGCAACCTCTGCCTCCTGGGTTTGAGTGATTCTCCTGCCTCAGCCTCCCGAGTAGCTGAGCTAACTGGTATGTGCCACCATAACTGGCTCATTTTTTTGTATTTTTAGTTAGAGACGGGGTTTCACCATGTTGGCCAGGCTCGTCTCAAACTCCTGACCTTAAGTGGTCTTCCCGCCTCAGCTTCCCAAAGTGCTGGGATTACAGGCATGAGCTACCGAACCTGACCAAATCACTCGGTAGCTGTTTTTGTTGGTTTGTTTGTTTTGGAGACGGAGTCTTGCACTGTCACCCAGGCTGGAGTGCAGTGGCACGATCTTGGCTCACTGCAACCTCTGCCACCTGGGTTCAAGCAATTCCCATGCCTCAGCCTCCCGAGTAGCTGGGATTACAGGCACGTGCCACCATGCCCAGTGAATATTTTGTATTTAATAGAGATGGGATTTCATCATGTTGCCCAGGCAGGTCTCAAACTCCTGAGCTCAGGCCATCTACCCGCCTCAGCCTCCCAAAGTGCTAGGATTACAAGCATGAGCCACCGCACCCAGCCTGCAGCTTTTGATTGAGGACCATGTTTGCTAGACCTGATGCTGGCAGAGCCTTCATAGCCTTTTGCAGTTTTCAGAAAGCTTTCATATGTTATTTGTTAAAGTTTAACCTTGTGAAATTACCAATACTGGGCTGTTTTTTTACCTAGAAGAACAGCAACTCTATATTAATTCAGTATACTAATTATAAAAGGGAAGCAGTACGACAGAGTGGCAACAACTTTGGTCTAAGAATCAAAAGACCAGGCCGGGTGTTGTGGCTCATGCCTGTAATCCCAGCACTTTGTGAGGCTGAGGCGGGTGGATCACTTGAGGCCAGGAGTTTAAGACTAGCCTGGGCAACATGGCGAAACTCCATCTTTACAAAAAATACAAATTAGCTGGGTGTGGTAGCATGTGCCTGTAGTCCCAACTACTCAGGAGTCTGAGGTAGGAGGATCACCTGAGCCTGGGAGGTTAAGGCTGCAGTGAGCCACGATCGCACCACTGCACTCTAG